CATCTGCAAAAGATGCGAAGAGCTTGGCCGGAGTCCTTAGGGTCTGCTGAGTGCATGTGCTGTCGGGTGTTTCCCTTTCTTCGCTCCTTTTTGATTCCGGTCCCGGGCAGAGCTGGTTTCTAGTCTCTTTTTTGGCTGTGGGTATCCCGCCCGGGCTCTCGCTCTCTCCGCACATGTTCCTAGGGCGCCATCTCTTTGCAAAAACCCTCCGTCCTGCCGCAGGTCTCCCAGAAGACTGCATCGGAGCGTGTGAACATCGCAGGCTCCAGCCCAATCCAACCTGCGGAGCCAAGCATGCTTCCCAGCCCCTGAGCCTCCCCGGGCTACCGCTGCTCGTAGAGCTCCCGGGCTTTCCAGCTAGGCAGCGCTCTTTGCTTGAGGTCCCTTTCCTTGTCACAGTTGGGGACCCAACTTTCCGGAAGCAGAGGACGTGAACCTGACCTCTTTTTTTGTTGCAGAGGTATACTTAAAGACAGATGTATAGACGCATCCCCCTCCGCCCCGCCTGAATCTGTGTGTGTATGTGTGTGTCCGCGCGTGTGTTTACAGAGAAGCGGAGAGCTGAGCTGACTTTTGGGAGTCTTTCCTTATCTGCAAAGAGGGCTTCTCCTGTAACACAAAGCCCCGAGGCAGAAGTTTAGCGGACTAGAATTGAGCAGGGCTCAGGGAGACAAATGGACGCGCCCTCTAACTCGGTTCAAATAGGAGCTAGAGGATTTTTTAAGTAATATTGAGACAGATCTTGCCTGCGGGCAGCGAGAGACGGAGAGAGAGGGAGGGAGGGAAGGAGGGAGGGAGGGAGAGGCAGACGGCAAGGAAGGGAGAGAGACGGAACGAAGTTTGGAAGAAGTGAGCCGCTGCCGAGAGCTCAGAAAGTTTGTTTTTCCTTCGCAGCCGGGGAGCTGGGAGAGCCGAAAGCGGGGACTGCTTGAGGACGGCGCTGGCGCATGTGTCCCTCGGGACTGATCTCCCTTTCCTTGCAGGTTTTAAGACCCGGAGGATACAATGTTCACTAAACTCTTCCAGCAGTGGAGTTTCGCAGTGTTTCTGCTGAGTTATTCCGTGCCCTCTTACGGCAGATCAGTAGAGGGGATCAGCCGCAGACTGTGAGTTTCTTCTTGAGTTTCTTTTTTTTTTTTTTTTTTTTTTTTTTTTTTTTCT